GAACTAAAAATCCTGACTTGTTTCCCAATCCCAAAGATCTATGCCTCTTGGAAATTTGAAAACACTAAGCAGTGCAAGATATAGTACTACCAAATGCCTGAAATGACCACAGCCAGAAATATTTGGTGAATAGTACTAAGTACAACCCAAATGGTAGTGCCAGAATCCAAATCCAATTTTCTTATTCTAGAACTCATGTTCTGTCTTCTCAAAACTTCCTCTATTGTCACTGATTGTATATTAGTATTTGTTTGCTCATTTGATTATTCCAGGATTCATTCATTTATCCAACAAGTATTTGCTAAGCCCCATGTGAATAGGAATCACATTGGTCTCACACAGTGATGTTCAATAAGTATTTATTGAATACCTGACTACCAGACACTAAAGGTATTATAGCATGAAACAGTAGTCCTAAAAGAATGAGGCACAGGATAGGCCACTTTTGATTGGGAATAGAAGGTAAAATCTAGAAAACAGTGGGACAATTAGGATCTAGAGTGGGGTAGGCCAGGCACAGTGACTCATGCCTGTAATCCCAGCACTTTGGGAGGCCAAAGTGGGTGGATCACCTGAGGTCAGGAGATCCAGACCAGCCTGGCCAACATGGTGAAACCCATCTCTACTAAAAATACAAAAATTAGCCAGTCGTGATATCAGGCACCTGTAATCCCAGCTACTCGGGAGGCTAAAGCAGAAGAATGGCTAGAACACGAGAGGTGGAGGTTGCAGTGAGCAGAGATGGTGCCTGGGAGACATAGATTCTGTCAAAAAAAAAAAAAAAAAAAAAAAAAAGAAAGAAAAAAGAAAAGAAAAAGCAAAAATAGAGTGTGGTAGATGGCTTCTGAAGTCACACCTAGAAATGTAAATATGCAGAAGGAAGGAGGGAAAGAAGGAAGGAGGGAAAGAAGGAAGGAAGGAAGGAAGGAAGGAAGGAAGGAAGGAAGGAAGGAAGGAAGGAAGGAAGGAAGGAAGGAAGGAAAGAAGGAAGGAAGGAAGGAAGGAAAGAAGGAAAGAAAGAAAGTCCTAAAATGAAGGAGGTGGGCTTCTAGGAGAAAGATGAGAGCTTGCCAAGACATACAACACACTGAGTAGGAACACGGTCTTTGACATCTGATAGTCCTGCTTTTAATTCCTAATTTTTTGGGCCAGGCATGGTAACTCAAGCCTGTGATTCCAGCACTTTGGGAGGCTAAGATAGGAGGACTACTTGAGCCTAGAGTTCAAGAGCAGTCTAAGCAATACAGTGAGATTCCATCACTACCAAAAAAAAATTAATTTTAAAAATCCAAATCTTGTGATCTTAATCAAGTCACTGAAGAGCTCTGGGCCTCAGTTTTCTCATTTGCAAAATGGGAACAAAATAATTAACTTTAAAGCTTATTGTATGAGTTAAATACAAAGAAAACACTTAACATAGTACCTGGGACACAGTAAATACTCAGTAAGAGGTAGCTATTAATCATACTTTATTATTCTGCCTGGCTCTCAATATTCTTGAGGATTTTTAAATATTTATAAGAAATATAAATCCCCTGCCTTATAGATTTTTAAAAGTTCCTTCAATGGATGAAGAGTTCTAGACTAAGGAGAGAATAAGTAAAATGTAGTCTGACTTTTTGGAGAGAAAAAGTAGCCAAGACTTCATATTTCTCTGCATGTTTGTCCCGAAACCACAAATACAGCATAAAAATAGAGGACTGTGCTCGCTCTGAGATTTGGGATGCACATGCTAGTCAGAAAGAGTAAACAAATAGGTCGGGCGCAGTGGCTGATGCCTATAATCCCAGCACTTCGGGAGGCCAAGGCGGGTGGATCATCTGAGGTCAGGAGCTCGAGACCAGCCTGGCCAACATTGTGAAACCCCGACTCTACTAAAAATGCAAAAATTGGCCAGGCATGGTGGCAGTCACTTATAATCCTAGCTACTTGGGAGGCTGAGGCAGAAGAATCACTGAAACCTGGCGGGCAGAGGTTGCAGTGAGCCCAAATCGAGCCACTTCACTCTAGTAGCCTGGGCAAAAGAGTGAAACTCTGCCTCAAAAAAAACAAGAATAGACAAATATATCCAATGTGTTTGCAATATCTTTTCTCTCAAGATATAATAAATGTGAGCTGGGCGCAGTGGCTCATGCCTGTAATCCCAGCTCTTTGGGAGGCTGGGGCGGGTGGATCACATGAGGTTGGGAATTCAAGACCAGCCTGGCCAGCATGGTGAAACCCTGTCCCTAATAAAAATACAAAAATTAGCTGGGCATGGTGGCAGGCGCCTGTAATCCCAGCTACTCAGGAGTCTGAGGCAGGAGAATCACTTGAACCCGAGAGGTGGAGGTTGTAGTGAGCTGAGATTGTGCCATTACAATCCAGCCTGGGCAACAGAACAAGACTTTGTCTAAAAAAAAAAAAAAAAAAAGATGTAATAAATGTGGTAGCCATTCTTACTCAAGCCTGTTGTGAGATCATGGTGCATCCCATGGTTGCTTATCTTTTTCAAGGGCTTCACCTGTCCTGAAGAACAAACTGTTTGAGGTACTTCTCTTTCAATTAAGAAGAGGATCCACAGCTTGGGGGCAGCTTTCTTCAGTTAGAGTTCTGGAAATGACCAAGCCAAGAATGCTTCCATGATTTCCTAAGAGATGATTACCTCGTATGCCTACAATGCAAAGTTGCACGTGTTTTTTCAAAAACACATTCCAGACGTATGTCAGCTTGTGCCCATCTTGATCTGTCTGGCCAGAAATAAGGCAAGAAAGAGGTGCCATGATGGAAAATTTCTCCAGTGAAGACTTTCAACTCTGTGTTGTAGGGACCTTGTATACCATGTTAGAGAGTTTAGACTTGCCACTTTAACCAATGGTCCTTAAAGCGATAGAGAGGTACCAAAAGGTTTAATGGGGGTTGGGTTTGGGAAGACATGATCAGATATTTACTTCAGAAAGGTCACTCTGGCTGAAGTGAGAAGAATGGATTACAGCACAGAAAACCTTAGAGGCAGGAGGAGAGGCAGAAGGCTACTGCAGAAGACCGAGTGACAGGTGAAGGTAGCCTAGACCAGGCGTTGGTGATAGAGATGGAGAAAGGGGGACAAATTCTTGGAGATGTTTGGAAAGTCTCATCACACAGGATTTAAGTTGTTGATTAGATGTGGAGAATGGGGAAGAGGAAGGAGTAAGAGAATGCTGCTCAGATTTTTGGCTGGGGCATCTGAGTAAATGGCAGTGAATTCACTGAAATTGGAACTCTGGTGGAAGCACAGGTTGGTAGGAGCCAGGAAGTTCAGTTTAGGACATGCTCACTTAGAGCAACCCATGGAACCTCCAAGTGGAGATGCAGGTTGTCAGCTCTCTGATTCTCAGTCTAGGGCTCTCTTTGCTGCTCCATAGCTGCTTTATGCCCCAAGCACATCTCAGACTTGGGGATGGAGGGGAGGAGGTGCTATCAGGGATCTTTAGTCATAGCTGGCATATATTGGCCCAGATGGTTTGGCTGGGGAATCCCTTTTGGTGTTAGGGGAGATAATGTGTTGGGGTGGGGAGTGCAGCGAGGAAACTTTGATATGACAATATTCTCATTTCCAAAAGCATTGATCCACTATAGCAATATTGTAATTGATTCAGGCAAGGGCCATTGATGGATGCTAAAACAAGTTTGTTTGTAAACAAGCTATTTACCCAGTCTAAAATTATCCTCCTGAAGATGATTACCACAAAGGAAAAATGTTTTAGAGTGAAGAAATATGGGTAACACCACCAGTACCTCCCTATAGATTATTTATACAAAGAGGGAGAGATTCCCCAGAAGTGGAACACTCACACAGATACTACTTTGACCACATGATCAACATTTACCTTCACCACCAATGGGGCAAACTGACATCAGGTGCCCCCTAATATGACATACTGAGAAGGACACAGTGTGTGCATAGTTTGAATCTCACACCAGACAAATCCCAGAGACATGTTAGAGAACAATAGGCCTGCACTCTTCAAAAATGCCAATGTCTTAAAAGACAAAAATTGGGAGCCTTTTCATTCTCAAATAAAAGAGGCTAAAGAAGCATGACAACTGGTTGGGTGCGGTGGCTCATGCCTGTAATCCCAGCACTTTGGGAGACCGATGTGGGCGGATCACGAGGTCAGAAGATCGAGACCATCCTGGCTAACACGGTGAAACCCCATCTCTACTAAAAATACAAAAAATTAGCCGGGCGTGGTGGTGGGTGCCTGTAGTCCCAGCTACTTGGGAGGCTGAGGCAGGAGAATGGGGTGAACCCGGGAGGTGGAGGTTGCAGCGAGCCGAGTTCACGCCATTGCACTCCAGACTGGGTGACAGAGTGAGACTCCATCTCAAAGAAAAAAAAAAAAAGAAGCATGACAACTAAGTAGAAATACAAAGTCCTGGGTTGGGAAAACACGTTATAAACCCCAATATCAGAAAGACTGGCAAAACTTAGATATGATTGTATTCAGTAAGAGATTCATATCTGTGTTAAATTCCCTAAATTTGATCATTGCACTCTGTCTTTGTTCTTAGGAAACACTTGCTGATATGTTCAGGTGGGAAGGGTCATGATATCTGCAACTTATCTCAAATAGTCCCTAACAACAACAATAATAATAAATGTACATATAGAGAAAGCAAATATAGCAAAATGTCAACAACTAGTGAATATAGGTGAGAGGATACAAGTGTTTGATGTATTCTTTTTGCAGCTTTTCTGGGAGTTATATATATATTTTTTTTTCAAAAGGAAAAGAAGCACAAGCAGAGGGAGTTCTAAACATGGAAGACTCTAACCAGTGTTTTTTTTTTTTTTTTTAAGGTCAAATATTTTAATATTATTTTTTCTAGCCACTAAATTCCTTCTTAATGAAATGTCAAAATAGGAAACAGGTGAAGGAGTAATTTCCTGCACTGCCAGGCTTATAAGAATGTACAGTATTTGCTTCAATTTTAAACCTGCACTGTTTAAAAAGGAATTTGTTTTGTTTTAAATCCAGGTACCAAAGTTGAAAGCCCTGAATGTCCAGAGAGCAGCTGGAACAAGAATTGCTGCCTGCAGGCGCTTCTGTCCACCAACCACACATCAGTGAGTGGCCCGGGACCCAGCCACTGTGTGTGCACCTGCGGTTCCTGCCATGGGGAGCAGGAGCCATTTGGCTGCTCCTCTTCACAGGGCACCACCTGTGATCTTTCACTGCCCAGGTGAGCAGAGCGCAGGAAGTCAGGGAATCAGAGCACTGAATGAATCTTGGAAAGCACCCAGTCCAACTCTCCCCACCTTCCCATCTGTGGCATTAATCACCTCTATAACGTTGTAACCAACTGGTCAACCAACCTCTATTTGAACATAGCCAGTGGCTAAAATGTCTAAGCAGCTCACCCATTTTTAAATAGCTTAAATTGTTTGGATATCCTTTCTCTTAAAAATAAGTATCAGTACAAAATGCCTACTTCCATTTTGTAGGTATCTGGTAAACTTATTTTAATAAAAAAAGTCAAGTCAGATTAACTAAAACTGTGGAACACCTTGAATATTTACAGTCAATAACTAAAATCATATATTTCAGATCCTTCAGCAGGGCATCTCTATAAAATAACATTTGGAAATCACAGAAATTTACTCTTAAAGGGCCTTTCTTGTTCATTGCATTCTGAGATATACCCATTTTATGGCCATATATTTGAAAGCAAACAAAAATAGAAGAAAATTCTATGGACACGTAGTAGGCATATGTGTATGTATGGATAGCACATTTGCATGTGCATAGATAGGGACATGGGAGGATAGATATCAAGGGTATTCCTGGGGATTGGGAGTGAGTAAAGGAAAAGAGGCTTTTACTCTCTACCTTAGACATTTTGTTATTGTTTGATTTTTTTTTTTAAAAAAAGAAAGAAACAGTATGTTGCTATTTTTATCACTTAAAACCATTTTCTCAAAAATTTACAAAACAACAAAAAAGAGAAATCACTTACATTGAGCTGAAATCTGATTGCCCAGAGTTTCCATTTTCTACTGCACTCTGGACAACTTAAGATAAGCCCACTCCTTCTTGCACATAGCAGCGAGTCAGCTGTCTGATGCCAGTCCTTGAGGCCTCCATATTTCTCTTCTGCAAGATAAATGTTCCCATTTCCTTCAGCTGTCTCTCAGTTGGCAGGAATTCAAATCTTCTTGACTTCTTGTCACTGCCCTCCTCCCACTGAAGTAGAGCATATCAAGTGGGCGCAGAGAAAAATCCATTCAGAAGTTCAGGTGGCAGTTGGTCATCTGTTGAAAATTAGCAAGTCCATGGTTCTTTGTGTTCTTGCACCAACTTGGCCTAACTTTTTGGGGTCTCAGGTGCTGTATTAAAGGTGCTCTATTTCATGCATCAGTGATGGATGAAAGCTGGTCTGCAGGGCACGCATGCAGTTATAATCAGAGCACCATGGCGAGCTTTCCCAACACTTATAAAACCTGGCTGATTTATCAATGTCAACTCAGGACAAGAACGGTAAGGAAAATGTGTAAAGGGAATAGTAGGAAAATATGCTCCCCGGTAATCAGAAGAATTAACAATGGGATAGCCAGGATAAGGATGTTATGGTAGCACATGACCAAGATAAGAACACATAGCAAAGCAGTCAAGAGGATCAGCTCTTCCACATACTTATTGTGTGACTTGGGAAGGTTTCTTAACCACTCTGTGCCACAGTTTCGTTATCTGTAAAATGGGGATAATAGTGGTCCCTACTTCATACAGCTAGCACAAGGTTTAAATGAGCTGTTCCTTTAAAAGTGTCTCTGGCACATAAGATATGCTACTTAAGTGTCTAACAAACAAAAAAGAAATGAGGTGACTGATTTCATGGTTTCTGACTGGAATGGTCAGAGGAAATAATGTAAACAAGAGGTGTGCGAATGGACCTGCTTGGCAAATTTGAGGATTAAACTGTGCTCTGTTTAGGAAACATAATAAAGAATAGAGTTCTATCGGCTGAAGCATTCCACCTGTTGCAAACACAGAGGAAATTGTCCTTTCATAGATTAGTGCTTTGGACACCTGCCTGCCTGCCATTTCTTCCTTGTCAATAAAGGCTAAAATAGACCAACCTCATTAGTACCAGGAACATATAAATATGTTAAACGGTTGGTACAATGAGTCCTATTCAAAAGTAGAATGACTGAAAGGGAAACAACTACCACTCCTAGTTATTGCCATTCCTTCATGTACATGGGGCCCCATGGAGTTTATTTAGGGCACACAATTGAAGTACATTTCTCTATAATTTTCTCCTGCAATGGATCAGCAACGTTTGTGAATGAGGCAAACTGGATATTTGGCAGAACCAGAGTTCATACTATGCTGAACATATCAGTAAAATACAAATTATCCTTGAACTGGGTCTTTTCTAATTCCAAGTTCTTCTCCCACTTTCTTTAGCTTTTCCTGTGTTCTCATTCAAATCCCTGAAAGTGTAATGACCTTCACCCAGACTATGGGTCGCTAAGAATGTTCAGTGTAGGATGCTGATCTTGAGGCATTGAAAAGGGCACTGGTTCTGCTAATTATTGGTGGGGGACTCCTCTGGAAAAACATCTTGCACTACTGAGCACATTTCTTCATCAATCTTTATAAAATCTACAATTTCTCCTATACAGTCATTCTGAGTATCAAATGGTATTGGTAAAAACACTTTTTGGACACCAAACCTGGAATTGCAAGCTCGAATGCCTGTGGCAGCCAGAGAGGTAACATAAATATGTGATTAGCAGAAAGTGTAACACTGTAGAGAGTGGTGATGACTGTTGACAAAGTGAGAAGTGTATGTCCAGCCTAAAGACATTCAAATTCAAGGGTTAAAAAAAGTGATACTGGTGAAACAATATTGCCTAATGTCAGATTAGTTCATGGACGGGATTTGACCTACAAAACACCTGCTTGCAACTCTCAGAAATAAAGAGCAATATGGTATGGTAGAGGGGAAGAAAATAGATTTTGGCGTTAAACTGGCCTATGTTTAAACTGGTAGTATGACCTCAAGTAAGTTATTGAAGGTCTTTAAGACTCAATTTTATGTATCTACAAAATCCTGTCTCCGGGAATGTTATGAAGATTTTAGAACAGTGTAAACTTATTACCAATAATTATTAATTAAAGAAATTCAAGTCTTTCTATGTAAATATCCTGCCCACTTTATCCTAGAGTGCTCACAGCAACATTTTTCACCCAGTTTATTCTTGTTCAAAGTGTTGAGGTGTCCAAGGGCAAGCTGAAGTTAGAAAGATAAAAGCATGAAGATAGGGTGGGTGAACCTAGAGGAAGACTGCCAAGACTGCGCTGGCTTTGTCTTCATGTTATCCCACACTCTGAGATCTGACCCTTGGCCTCCCAGTCCAGCAATAACTTCATTACAACACTCAGAAATGAGGAGACACATAGTAATGAACTCCTGTGGAGTTCACGTGCAACTGGGACATGAAACCTAATGTCTATGTGTTTTTATCTTTAGGGTGGGTATTGATCTCCAGGTGGAACTATTTATATCCTTAAACCAAGGCAACTCACTCTCAATATTAGAGTGTCCAAGAAACTACAGACATCTCACTTGGCCTCCCTTGTGCTACATCTGGTTGATTATAGTTTTTACTTGCTTTAAATTTTAAAAAATATATATGTGATACCTTTGTGAAGGAAAAAAATACAAACAAGAAAAAAAAAAGAACTGCTTTATTTCTGAATTTAGAACCAGACATTAATTCCTGTTTCAGACTGTCATGACCACAAGGAAATGAGAAATATTTCCTCATGATTTCTTTCAGATGCTTCAAAATATTTAGGAGTTTTAGGACTTTCTTTGGCCAAAGTCTGGCTGAGGTCATATATTTTCTCTGTTCCTGAGTCTGGGGTGGTAAAGGGGAAATAAAGAATAGCAGGAATCTATTCCAACTAGGGTTGGCAGATTTAGCAAATGAAATTTGAATTTCAGATAAAAACGAGGTAGTTTTTAGTATAAGTATGCCCCCATTCAAATTGGCAATATCTGCAATTTATGGGATATACTCATACTAACAAAGTATTGTTGCTTATCTGAAATTCAAATTTCACTGAACATCCTGTATTTTTATTTGGCAACCCTAATCACAACCCACAAGGCAAAAGCCCTCATCAGTCGCTTCCAAAAGTGTATATGGAAAGAGAGCTCTCTCTTTCATTAGTGTTGGGGTGTCATGGAGGTTGAGGAGGTATATTTTTTTCAGAGACCGATTTCTCTGAGCCTCGAGCACTAACAGCTGTTAGATCTCTATGGTCTTCCAGCCAACTATCATGGCATCTGGTGATGGGGACCAATGAGGAGTGAGCTGAAGAAAACCCTTCCCTCTATGTGCTTTTAGAACAGAGATGAGTTGCTTTTAGAGATAAAATATAGCATATTAGGACAATCAAAGAGAAAGTGTCAAATAGGATATAGGAATAAATTATCTGAAAATCAGAATTATGTATGTAACCATTACTTACAAATGGAAATGATTTTGGAGACAATCTCCTCTCTTCCTATCATTTTACAAATGAGAAGACAGACTCAAAGCAGTTTCCTTTCTGGAATGTGATGGAAGGGGTGCGTGTCTGTGTGTGCGTACATGTGTGTACGTAAGTCTAGCAGTAATAGTAGCAGTAGTAGCAGAAGGAGATGGTGAAGGAGAAAAAGGAGGAGGCAGAGGAGAAGGAGGAGGAGGGAAAAAGGGGATGGAGGAAGGAAACTGAGGCAAAAAGACCAGAAGTACAAATACCTTTCCACTACACCTGTCCTGCTACACGATTATGGGTTTCTACAACTGTTTTTCCTATAACTTTTTAAAAATGTACATAAATAATATACATTCATTAGAGAAATTCAGGATTACATACAAACAAACAAAACCTCTTCCATGAATCCAACATACAGATATTACTATTGTTAACATTTTAGTGTATAGAGAAAGTACTTTGGTATGAAAGACCCAGCATTCATTCTGCCTTCTTAAGGGAGCCACACCCACATTTTGCTCTGGGGATAGCTACTCAATCAGTGGAATATCATTTCTAGTGGGACTACCAACCTAGGTGTCAGGTCCTTTGCTGGCAAAGCAGTAGGCAGGTGACCAAGCTGTGATTTCAGTCTGTAGCTAAGTGACCCTTGAAGACTGAAGATGCTGGAGTTTCTTCCTCCTGAGAGGGGAACACTAATGAGATCACTCATCGTCACACACCTCTCAGACACCTGGAGCAGCTCTGGGTCCTAGGCCTCCTGAGAACTAATTCTTCACTGTTTCCTTCAATTCTAATATGGTAAGTTGATTGTATTCATGGCCTCAACTAGCGGCCTCCATATCATGCCCTGTGCAAGAGACAGAGGCCCATCAAGAATGAAGTCTAGTTCCCCACCCCTTGAATCTGGGATGCGTTGGGATTTGCTTTAGCCAGTAGAATGCAGGAACAGTGAAGGTGTGTGAGCTCGGAGCCTCAACTTCTAGAGGGCTTGTGTGCTTCCCGTCTCTCTTGGAGCCACCAGAACAAAACTGGTGTCAGCTGCTGGAGGATGACAAACCACTTGGAGGAGAGCACAGGGGTCTCGGCCAACTCTCAGAAGCAGAACCACCTTGTGCACACACAGGTGACTTCAGATACATGAAGAAGACTACCTTTATATCACAAGCTAAACAAATGTTCTAAGCCTCTAAGTTTGAAGTGGTAGGTTATGCAGCAATACCTAACTCACACTTCTATGAACTTCCACATCTTTCCGATAAATTCCTTTTTGTGTGAATTTCTATAGCTACAAAGAACTCTATTAGACACTTTCCAACTAGTCTCTCATTCTTTTAACAGAATGGGATCATATCACACATCCTCTTTTGTAATCTAGTTTATTTCACTTTGCAACTGATTTTGAGCATCTTTCCCAAACAATCGAATGTACACAGTTAAAAAAGGAAAATCTCCCAAATGCCACTTCTGAGCCTCTGCCCAAACCAAGTTTCATCATGACATTATGGCCACCAGCCAAAATGCCATTTGTAGGTAGGCCTAGCATGATCTGTTCTGTCCAGAAGGAAGTGCCTTTAACTTGTTTCTCCATGAGATTATTGGACAGCACTGTGACTTTTCACAGCTTGATGACCAAGAAAAGGACACAGTCATGCCTCAGAGGTGCTTGAGAACATTAACCTTCCCAGGCACTGTCTACCTCTTTAGACAAAGAAAGCAATAATTGCATTCAGAATGTTCTATTATTTACAAACATATAAAACATATGGACAGCGAAGATAGAAAAAGAGATAGACATTCCACATAATGATTTTCTCTTCTGACCCAAAACTGAATGATTGGAACTCTCCAGTCCTTTTATTCCTGGTCATCCTATTTCCATTATCCTTTTTTTTTTTTTCCACCAGAAGGCAGATTTAATTTGAGATATCATTTGTTTGGCAGAGTAGGGCAAGGGGAGAGTGCAATGCCTGCCCCGTAACTCTAGTCTCTAGTCTTCATGCTAATGAAAATACATTACTATTTTCCAAGGAAATTAGTGTTTGTAAAATGGATCCCCTGCAACTGTGCACATGTTTCTATTGGAAGGAATTTTCTGAATGCATTATCTGCTTTGGTCCCTTCCAACAGGCACACAACTGGAGGTCTATTCTTATCTTGCTTGCTTTTCCTTTGGATTTGATTTTTTGTTGATAACAATAATTCCTATGGCATTCATCTCATTTAATCCTCATCAAAACTCCATTAGGTAGATATTTTTATTATTCTCCTTAGAGAAGGCAAGTAAATAGTGTGAAGTCTTGTAGCTAATAAATGACAGAGCTGGGGTGCCGCCCTTGTTTGTCAAACTCCCAAATCAGGATGTTTTACCTTGATGTCTTCATGTCCCAATTCCTACTGAATTTTAAATACAATAAAGACATAAAAAATTTAAATCACCAAAGTATGGGTTACTTTTTTTTTTAAAGTAGGCAATGATAAGTGGCCTTAATGAGTTTCCTTCCAATCCTAAAAGAGTATAATGTTGAAATCCCTGTCTCTTTTCCCCTTAGGCAGCGTCTTCAGACTTCCAAATAAGCCTGAAGAGGACAGAATAGCGAGCAATGTCTCCCTGAATGGGACTACAGGGAACTCTGGTAACCACATCTCATTCAGCAACTTGAGATACATCAGCAATATTACTACAAGCAGTCTCTTAGGTACTTGACTGTGAGCAGGAATACAAGACAAGTAGAACACACTGGCTCTCATTTTTTAAAGATGATTTCACCTTAAGAGGTAAATACTTACAGAAAACAAAAAAGCACCTACAAGTAAAACTAAAAGGATTATGATACAGGTCAGCACTGTCCAACAGAACTTTCTGTCATTATGCAAATGTATTATATCTGTGCTGTCCAATATGTGACATATCCAATATATTACCCACCTATGGCCATGGAGCACATGAAATGTAGCTAGTATGGTGGAGGAACTCATTTTTAAATTTTAATTATCTTTGTTAGCTTAGTTAACTTTAATTAACTGAAATTTAAATTAAAATAGCCAAATGCGGACAGTGGCTAACATATTGGACGACACAGCTATAGATGGCCATAGAAGTATGGTGAAGTGGTCAGGGAAGTCCTCATCAAGAAAGTACAGTCCGAGGAGCTTTTGAGTGGGGTACAGAGGGAAGAAAATGCAACTGGATTGAGAAAGAAGGGAGGAAATGAAAGAAACACAAGATTTGTTCTAGTAAAAGGCCTGAGGTTACAGATTCAAATGCCTACAGAAAGAATCATAAGGTAGGCCAGTAGGCCCGGTGCGGTGGCTCACGCCTGTAAACCCAACACTTTGGGAGGCCAAGGCGGTCAGATCACTTGAGATCAGGAGTTCAAGACCAGCCTGGCCAACATGATGAAGCCCCATCTCTGCTAAAAATACAAATATTAGCCGAGTGTGATGGTGCCTATAATCCCAGCTACTCAGGAGGCTGAGGTGGGAGGATCACTTGAACCTAGGAGCCAGAGGTTGCAGTGAGCCAAGATTGTGGCTTTGCACTCCAGCCTGGGTAACAGAGAGGATTGGTGGTGGGTTATGGGGACTATGGAGATTAGAGACCCTACCTTATCTAGTCAGCTCCAGCCAGTTATCGCCATACAGAAATGTAGGCTCAATGTTGACTATCTTCTTAATTTTTGGAGGAAGTTAGAAACTCCAATTTTATGTTAAGTCACCTAATTTTAAGTCTTGGCCACAGTGTGTGCTAAACATTCTTAGCAGATGCTATTGGTGCTCCACTCATATCCACTCAGCACTCCCCTCTGCAGGTGAGGCTGCCTACTGTGATTGCCTTCAACTCTGCCTGAAGACACTGTGCACACATTCGACCCGCATGCAAGCATCTGAGACTGCCAAAACGCTAATGCCCTTGCAAGCAGCTCGCAAAAAATGAGAGGAAAGTACATAAATATGCTAATCTTACCTCTCAGTTAGGATAGCTCTGAGATATGTTCTGTATTGCCTCCCAGAGTTTCCTTGTGTGACTGAGCTCCAGCTGCCACAGTACAATCTGGTAGATAATGTGCCATTCATTGGAATCCATCCCTTTTCCTTCTCACTTTCCCACTTGCCTGTGTACTGATGTTTCCTGGGATCACCTCCCAATAAACTACTTGGACACCAATCCATATCTCAGAACCTGATCCTGGGAGGAACCCAAACAAAGACACTGTTGTAGCAAACAAACTCAAATCCCAGTGGCGAACACAACGACGTTTCAAACTCACTCACATCACAATCCAAAGAGGGTCACTGTGGAGACTGTTCCATCATCCAGGGAGCCAGGCTCCTTTCATCATGTGGCTCTGCATCTTCTATGACACCTTCTTTCTCTGCATTCAGTTGCAGATGGGGACAGAGAGAGAACGTGGAGGGCTGGGAGGAGGATTTTTACTGTCAAGGCCTGGAAATAGTGGCCAGCACTTCCGTTCATATCCATTGGCAGAACTCGTCATATGGTCCCTCCTCCTTGCTGGGGACGCTGGGAAACGTAGTGCAGCTGTGCATCAACTGTAGAAGGAAATAAGTTTGCTGAACACATAGCAGTTTCTGCTGCTGCAACTTATTTATTTATTTATTTATTGAGACAGATCTCACTGTGTCACCGAGGTTGGAGTGCAGTGGCATGATCTCAGCTCACTGCAACCTCTCTCTCCAGGGTTCAAATGATTCTCCTGTCTCAGCCTCCTGAGTAGCTGGGATGACAGGCATGTGCCACCACACCCAGCTAATTTTTGTATGTTTTTAGTAGAGATGGGTGTTTCATCATGTTGGCCAGGCTGGTCTTGAACTCCCGGCCTCAAGTGATCTGCCCACCTTGGCCTACCAAAGTGCTGGGATTACAGGTGCGAGCCACTGCGCCCAGTCTGCAACTTATTTAGATGTTGTAAAAATACTGTCCAGGCCAAAGAAGCTATGCTTGTAGACCAAAGTCAGCTTGTGGAACACCAATTTGGAACCTGTGGCCCAGATATTATTCCCTAGAGTTGAGGGTGAAAAATTTTGCTAGCAAGCCACCCAACAAGTTCTTAACTTGTACAGAAATGTTTGCCACATTTTATTCAACAGTGTGGTAAAATGACTATATGAAAATCGAATCAATTCTCTGCTGACTGAGTTTATAATTTCAGAGAGAAAATGATCATTTCATTTCTGATAGTTCTTACATGAGCAGTGGGTCCCTAATGAGATAGCCGTGACTTCCTTCATCCTCTGTCAAGTGATTATCTATCAGTAGGTCGTGTCAGTGTAGCCCCACTTCCACCTCATCTTCACCCTCTCCCCGATTCCCTACGCTCCAGCCCCACTGCTTGTTTCTCAAGCTTGCCAAACTTTTTACACCTCCAGAATTCTGCAAATGCTGTTCACTATTCCAGAAATGCGTTCCTGCTCTCCTGTCTTCTCTTTGCCTCATTCTTTACCCAACGGGGTCCCCGGTATCTGTCAAGTCTTGGCATAGATGTTCTTTCCCCATAGAAGCTTTGATTGACCACCCAAAACAAAGGGGCTTTTCTCCACCCACCATTATTCCCGCTCCTTCTATCTATCATGATTCAGAACCATATCTGCATGTTTAACACACAGCTCCAGAGGCTGCTCACTGCAGCACTGTGCATGGAGCTCAGTACAGTATTTGGACATTGTCAGAGTTCAAAGATATCTGTTGAATAAATACATGAATACCAAGAAAACTTCACTGCTTTAGAGAAGTTTGTGTGGGTACCTTTTATAATTAAAATAACATCTCCCCATCTGTCTTGAAAGTTTAGTTAAACTTGATTGGGACTTAATGAAGAGAAATATTTATATATTGAATGCTACCTGAGGCAAAGAAATAAAATAAAAATCCTCTCTTTATCTCAGAAATCCCTGAACTTAGTCTCTTCTAAAACTAACCTAGATACAACTCAATGTAATCATTTATGTCAACAGGGGCGGAGAGATGAAAGCTCTTTGAAAAAGTGAAAGTGACATTACACTGCAAAATGTTAATTCCTAAAAGCATCATTGACCTAAATAATCTAACAAGTTGCCCAGGGGGGAAAAAAATAGGAATCAGCTTTGATTTTTCCCCACCCCTTCCAATCTCTCTGCCATCATTCTGAGCTGTACTTCCAAACAGCTCAGCTTCACCTCTTGCCTCTTCCACTTTTGCCCAAGATTGTGTCAATCTAAGCTGCTGAATGCAAAATGAAGCTGTCTATCTAAGAAGCACAGTTGCTTATTTAGTTAGAAATGTAATTTTTTGTTTTGGGGTTTTGTTTGGAAGGGATTTGTTGCCAAGTGGTAGAATTTGAAAGTGTTTTCCCTATAGGAGGCAGATTCGGAAGTCTGGCCTGAGACTCTTTTGGAAGCTGAAACTAATTAAAATCTTTTTTTCGCCCCTGTAGCTAAGACGCAGCAGGGGAGATAGCCCAGCATTCATTTTATGAAGGTGTAACTATAGCCACTAACCTCTTGTGTACCACATTCACCGTCTGCCCCAAAGCTGCCACACCTGCTCGAACACCTGCCCAGTATGTGAGTATTTGGTAGAACAGTATTTAATGGTTTATCTAAGGGCACCCAGGGTCACCCACCTTTACCTGAGGACAATAGAGTCTTGTTCTACATATTTATTACCTATACACTCACCTCTGAGTGGAGTACTATCCTGGTTTCACCTTCTATGAGATCTGATAAGCAACGCAAAAGACAAATAGAAAAAGAGAAAGAGAAAGAGAGAAGCTAAAAAATAATTGTGTGTCATTTAAAAAAAAAAAAAATCACAGGCTGGGCGTGGTAGCTTACGTCTGTAATCCCAGCACTTTGGGAGGCTGACACAGGTGGATCACAAGGTCAAGAGATCGAGACCAGCCTGGCAAACGGGGTGAAACCCTGTCTCTACTAAGCCTCTGTTTTGTCACAAAAGGGCAGTGGTAATAGGTCATGACTCACCTTACTTGTGAAGATGCAATGAGTTAACACACACGCAATGCCTGGCACATCATCTAACACATCACCTAGCACACAAGACATGCTGAACCAAGGTTTGCCATCATTCTCCTCAAAGCCCACACACAGCTAGAGGGTTGAGAGCAAGGCTGCCAACCCTGGTTGTTTAATTCTGCTCATAAAGATTCTGTATGTTCCATCTGCAAAAACTAAATTCAGAGAAAAATAACTGGAAATAGAAAAGGGTGGTCAAGGAGAACACCAGAGCCAGAAGGAGGTGAAGACCAGTTCCTTGTGTATCTGGAACTTGCCCTATAGGGGTTCTTTGCCTCCTATACGAGGCCCTGGAGGAAAATCTGTTTGGTGAGCTAAGAAGTATTTGTTTTTCTGATCGGGAGAAGTCTCTATAAGGCTCCTAGAATTCTCATCCTTGATGGTGAAAGAAATTATAATGTGCATATTCTATTGTTACAGGCCAACTCCTCGTTTTCCTTCCCCCACCTTACTCCTCATTCTCCCCATCCTCCGCTTCTTGACATTGGCCTGGTTCTTCAAGGGCCACCTGAAATCCCACCACCTCCCCAGGGCTCTGGTCTCCCCTTTCTCTGAAGGCTGAAACATTTATTTTTAGTTTAAACATTTAATTGGTTTTCCTGTTTCATAGGGACTAATACCCCCCGAATAGATGATGTACTTCCTTTGTGTACTCCACAGGGATTGATACTAAGTTTCAAACCTAGAAAGTTCTAAATAGATATGCACTTTGTATAAATTATTGTTGAGAAGTGGACTGATTCTAGCATTTGTGAAACTCCCGCCTGGTAATACGTCTGTATTACAACTGAATACAGTTGTAATATAACTGAAAACTTGGCACAGAGTTTTAAGGCTTGGTCCCCACCCTCAAGGTACTTTCATCCGTAAAGAGAACAAAGCCCGGCCAGGCATGGTGGCTCACGCCTGTAATCCCAGCATTTTGGGGGGCTGAGGCAGGTGGATCATCTGAGGTCAGGAGTTCGAAACCAGCCTGACCAACATGGTGAAACCCCATCTGTACTCAAAACACAAAATTAGCCAGGCGTGGTGGTGCATACCTGTAATCCCAGCTACTCCGGAGGGTAAGGCAAGAGAATTGCTTGAACCTGGGAGGCAGAGGTTGCAGTGAGCTGAGATCATGCCATTGCACTCCAGCCTGGGCGACAGAGTGAAACGCCGTCTCAACAACAACAAAAAAAAGAGAGAGAGAGAGAGAACAAAGCCTTTTATAACTGGGAGGCACTGAGGCAGAAAAGTTAGCATTATGGGTTAATTTCCCTTGTTTTTTTCTTAACAGTAAAATGGATATAACAGTGGTACCTACTTCATGGGGTCTTTGTCAGGTTTGAGTCAGACAGTGCAGAGCCTAGCATATCCTAAGAGTTCAAATATAGCTAAGGTAGGTTCAGAAATTAGAAAAGCAATTGTTCAAATGCCAGGGGGAACAACAAACATCTTATAATTAAAAGGCTCAACTGGGTATATTTCCAGAGACAGCTGAGCTGCTGTCAAGTTATTTTAAAGGTATTTTATGCTAAGTACATAGTCCACAGTAGAGAGAGACACTTCTGCTCATGCTAATTTCTATGCAGTGGGGCAGGGGAGAGGAATTAAAAGTTGAAGCAACGGAAAGGAGTGTGCTTCAGGGCCCGGGAAGTCCCAGGTGGGAGGTGACTCTGAAAGTCAAGGCCATCATTGCTCTCTCCTACCTGAATCAAAGGAATAAGTAAATTGGAGACAAATGGGTAGAGTTTCAAGTCATGAACCTGAAAGAGTTTCGTTGCTTTATATTCCATTATGAGGAGAGTGTAGGGTTGAGTATGCTGACCTGCAGTGAAGCTGTGTTTTATTTTTTTCAACAAAGGCCCCATTTCAACACGGGCAAAATTTCCTTTTTTCTGAGGCTGCTTTAGGGAAAGCAAAAGGGAAAACAAGCAGGCAGATCAGACATGACTGAGCTGAAATCATCTGGGCTCAGAGGCATCTCGTGAGATAGCAGACGGACTCTATGAGCCCTTGGGTCCAACTTTGGCACAGGGGACTGGGGGGTCCCACTCTTTGGGAAATGACTTTGGTCCACACTAATGTGCTCTATTAAAGGAGCTCCAAGAATCCTTTGAATAGGATTCTAGCAGTTTCTAGCATTTGCTGGTCCTGTTGGAAGTATCCATAACACTAAAATGCAGCTTCCCCAGCCACTGCACTTAGGGTAAGGGTACCACACATAGCAACCAGGGCCATCTTGTTCAAAGCCTCCCATTCCAAATTTAATTTGTGTTTTTGGTGAACTTGGTTGTGGGTGGAGTTGACACCTGCCAAGAAGGTCCCAGGTTGATCCTATTAATAGGCACCACTGTAGCTAAGGAAGTTACAGTGCTAAGTTGCACTTGGTTGAACTATAGCTTTGAATGTGATCCTCCTCCTCGCCTGAATGAAAAGAAAAGAGAACCACCTGCAATTAGATTCAACAGAAGCATGTGCTGAAATACATACAGGAAGCTTTGCAGGCTCAACAATGACAAACTGAAACTATTAGGAAGATGATAATGTATACATCCTAATAATAGTAATTTAACAGAGAACATTTCCTGCCTCCTTACTCTGTGCCAGGTAATATACTCAAGACCATACCTGCATTATGTCAGAGTTCTTGCATCACTCTGTGTGGTAGGTACTAAGATCTTCCTTTCATAGTTGAGGTACCTGAGGCACTGAGAGATCGGGTGCCTGCCTCGGTCACACAACCAGAAAGTGCAGAGGCAGGACGTGAACACAGATTGACCAGGTTCCAACGTCTCCACTCTTTCTACCAAGCTGCCACTGTTAGTCTCTAATGTAAGCTTCATTGAACCAACTCCCAAAGCACCTGCTGGGTGTGGGGCAATGTATAAAATCCCCGGGGGCACAGAAAAGAAGTATAAACTTGACTGTGCTTGCAAGATAGTTCCAAAAAACCAATGAACTATTTGTGTGGTTAGTAATTGGATTAGAATAAGGGCCATCTCCCAAAGAAAATAGTAATCCTTCCCAGGGTGGAGACCACATCTGTTTTCCTATCCAGAGAGCTTTGCTCAAAGGCCTATACCTCCCAGGCTCTGGACAAATATCTCTTGATTCTGACGGGAGGGACATGGTGTCATAGAGCAAATCAGGTCTTATGGCTGAAGGTCCTGAGTACTGGTCCCAGCACTACCCCAAACTTGTCCAGTGCCTTTGACAAGTTAACTTACCTCTCTGGGGATTAATTTCCATGTCTACAGAAAAGAAATAATAAAAATAAAAGTTAATGTATTCCCTAGCCTACTTCACAAAGTTTAGTGGAGATGAAATGCAGTAACTATACCAACATGCTATGGCCAGGTGTGGTGGCTCATGCCTGTAATCCCAGCACTTTGGGAGGCCACAGCAGGTGGATCACTTGAGATCAGGAGTTCGAGACCAGCCTGGTCAACAGGGGAAACCCTGTCTCTAATAAAAATACAAAAAAAAAAAAAATAGTCAGGTGTGGGGTGCAAGCCTGTAATTCCACATACTCAGGAGGCTGAGGCAGGAGAATTGCTTGAACCCGGGATGCGGAGGTTGGAGTGAGCCAAGATTGCGCTACTACACGCAGCCTGGGTGACAGAGCAAGACTCCATCTTAAAACAAAACAAAACAAAAACCTAAAATGTGCTATGTAACACTATAAGGTATTTCTTTATGAGCTTTATTCCTTGGGAGTGCTGAGGAAAATCACAGAAGTGGATATCCCTGAGAGCTGAGTGCTTGGGCATGATTTCATCATGAAGGGGACAACTGAAGCGATAGAGTCTTGTGGATTCTAGAAGCCTTAAATTGGCTAATTCCCATTTTATGTTTGAAAGCCTGGAGTGGGATGTGAAAGATGTGATACAAAGTTCTCTCCAGCTTTGAGTTCCAGGATCTCCTTGTTTGGTGAAAGGAGCCTTGACACTTTTTCTTCCTGTAAACTTTGCCATCTTCCTTCTCTGCTTGGCAATTCATGCCTAATGAGTGACATTTCCTAGGGGCAAGATAGCATAACTGTCAAGAATAGGGTCTGGATTGGAATTCCTATTATTGAGACAATTTTTTTGGTTTACATGTAACCGCCCAATGGGTTCACCTTGCTGCTGCCTAGACAAAGCCAATTTATCAAGACAGGGGAACTGCAGTACAGAAAGAGTAATTCACGCAGAGCTGGCTGTGCGGGAGACAGGAGTTTTATTATTACTCAAATCAGTTTCCCTAAGCATTCTGGGATCAGAGTTTTTAAGGACAATTTGGTGGGTGGGGGGGAAGCCTGTGAGCCAGGAGTGCTGATTGGTCAGAGATGAAATCATAGGGAGTCAAAGCTGTCTTGTGCTGAGGCAGTTTCTGGGTGGGGGCCATAAGATCATATGATCCAGTTTATCGATTGGGTGGTGCCAGCTGATCCATTAAGTACAGGGTCTGCAAAATATCTCAAGCACTAATCATAGGAGCAGTTTAGGGAGGGTCAGAATTTTGTACTCCAGCTGCATGACTTCTGAATCACAATTTTTAATCTTGTGGCTAATTTCTTAGTCCTACAATGGCAGTCTAGTCCCCAGGCAAGAAGGAGGTTTGTTTTGGGAAAGAGCTGTTATCATCTTTGTTTTAAACTATAAACTAAGTTTCTCCCAAAGTTAGTTCGGCTTATGCCCAGGATGAACAAGGACAGCTGAGAGGTTAGAAGCAAGATGGAGTTGGTTAGGTCAAACCTCTTACACTATCTCAGTTACAATTTTGCAGTGGCTGTTCAATCATTCTAAATCTGAATTTCCTCAGGAGAAAATAAGGAGATGATAATAGTGCCAACCTTATAGGATTATTGTAAATTTTTTTATATAAGACAATTCCTATAAGGAGCTTAGCCCAGTGGCTGGAAAATATACGTAGGCCATTGTTAATATGCATATGTAGTTATAATTACTGCTTATATAGTTATAATTTTCTATAAACTGTATAGTTTATACAGTTATAATTACTGTTTATATATAGTTAAAATTTTCTTCTACCAGCCCTATCTTCAAATATACTTGTTGTCAGTTAAAGTTCAGTATCTTAGAAAGAGATTGTAAGGCCTTGGGAAAGGTTAGTGAAATCAACAAACTGGGAGTTGCTAAAAAGTTCATTATAAGGCAAGAAGCCAGAAATATCACCCTCCCTGGATTCAAGCTGTTCCCCAATAATCTAAAGAAACATAAATAGGACAAAGAAATCTACTTCATAAGATTATGAATAAATGACATGCAAGGATTTTTTTTTTATTCTATAGCCCCTATCAGAGCATTGAGAAAGCAAACTTTTCGTGAGGCAGTCACTGTCATTTGCTCTTTATTGCCTTAAATTTCCAGGTTGTAGAACCCCAGAGTCAACCCCCAAGCATCCCCGCAAGAAAAGTACACTTTGAATAATTACAGTCCTTTAACTTTCCTGATTCAATCTTCAAAGGCCACGAATTGCTTCCAACAAAGAAGCTGAAGTGAAAGAAGGAACGTCAACAAAAATGTGTGTTTGTGTTATCTCTTTACTTTCAGGGTTTATAGGTTTGAGGGAAAGTTTTTCTTTTCGGTGGAATAGAAGAAGAGAAGAGAGACTAAAAAGCATTTCTTAGATTTCCAGAAGCAGTAATGGAAAATCCCGACCCTAGGGTCTTGCTTTCTTCCTAGAAATAGAATGCTCCTGAAGTTCCCGGGAGGGCCCTCTGCAAACAGATGTCAATCATTCCATCGCTTGTTTTGCTAGGTGGAGTCGCTGGAGCTTAAAGAAGGGGAAGTAAACTCAAGCGCACATCCTGGTAACCTCTAGCCTCGGGTCAAATTTCACTGACGTCACTTAAAAATGACCAAAGACCCGCCCCTGTGAAAACCCCGTGGGCAGCCATTTTGTCTCGAGGAAACTGCCCAGATCTGATGTAAAGTAGTTCCGGACATCTCTTGGTTGTATATGGCATTTCCCTGAAATAAGCAACTCTTTGAAAAATATCATAGTGCAGAACAAAGTGAAGTACTCCATGGTGAAGTTGAAGTACACAGTCACCAAAGAAACTTGCCCTCAGGCTGCAAAGTAAAAGCTGGAAATCCCAGAGCAGCAACTTGGAAATCCCACCTGCTACATATTTGCCTGAGTACTTTAAGGTTCTATGGAAAATTGTCTCTCTGTGTAGATTAACCTTAAACTTGTTCCATTTTGATATGGTATTTCTTGTTTCATTTCTCTTGCTTTTCTCCCCTATTTTATAATAAGTTTCATTTACTCTGTGATACTTTAAGAAGAGATAACCTTTCACCAAGGGATGTTGCTGTGATAACCTCCAAGTCACATATACAGGTTCTAATCTTACCCCAGGGAAGTCCTGCCTCCCTTGCAGACTGGTTTTTGTCTGAGTGGATTTGCCTATCAGCGTCTTTTCTGATGAGGCATGTAGCCCAGCATGGCAGCAAAGAATCCTGCAGCAGGCAGATAAAGCTTTCTAAAAATGTTTTAATTTTACTTTTAATGGACAAATAATAATTGTATATATTTACAGGGTACAATGTGATGTTTCAATACATGCATATATTGTGGAATGATCAAATCAGGCTAATTAACCATATCCATTACCTTATATACTCGTTTATTTGCAATGAGAACATTTAAAATCTAGTCTTTTAGCAATTTTGAAATATACAATCCATTATTGTTCTAGTCACTACGCTGTGCAATAGATCACCAGTACTTATGCCTCAGATAAAGCTCTGAATCCTGTGAATCCTGTTACCACAGAATAGCAAGTGACCTCAGACCAGCTATTTAACCCCTCTAAACCTCAATTTCCTCATCTCTACTGTTGAGACTATAATAGCATCTACCTCACAGGGATGTTGGAAGGATTACATGCCCTCATGAAGGCTTAGTAAATCCTGACTCCTACTGCATTATTTTATTGAAGTCTCATTGAATTAGATACCCAAGAGAGAGAAAATGAAAGGGAAGTGCTTAACATTTGTGACAACCTTAATGTGATCTGCACATTTCCTAAAAATTAGAACACTTGTATGACTTCATTTTCCCCAAGATAATACATTAGTATTTTGGAAAGTGTAAGATGAAAAATTGTTACCCTGAACTGCAATATCCTACTTTCTGGCTTCAAATCCTTATCTATCCTGTGCTTCTCACTATACCTTCTCTTAGACCTCATTACGGTCACCCCATGGCCTGTGCTTTGGTTCCCATATCCTCCCATCTTTCCAGAAACTTTCCCTGTATCAGTTACCGCTTCTCTCCTCTCAGCTAGGTCCTTCGCATAAGTAATCAAGTCCTAGGTCATCTAGGCCTTTCCATATTACGAAATAATATCCCTCCTATCTCTACTCTATTTGTCTCTTTTCCTTCAAAGCCAGTCTTTTAACAAATTATATACTTACTGCTGCCATTTTTTTCAAACCTGCGTCACTCTTGAGCACATTACAAACTGGTTTCTAGCCCAAATATTCCAAGTCGCCCTCATGAAGATCCCTAGTGGTCTCCATGTTGCTAAATCCAAAAACCTTTTTCAGTCTTTATCTCATTGACCCTCTTGCTGATGCTGGGCACAATCCCTCTTGCTTGGACTTTATTGCCTCTGACACTACATCTTGGTTTTCCTTCCAAGTCTCTGACTGCTCCTGTTTTGTCTCCATTTCTGCCTCTTTCTCCTCTGCCTTCCATTAAATACTGAAGTTCCCCAAGTCTCAGTCCTAGACCCTCTTCTCACTTTGTATACTGCACTCTCTCCTATCATTATCAATCATGATTTCAGTTATGTGATACCAGCTTACATCTTCAGCCCAGACCAGATCTCTGTGTTCCACACCCAGATGTCCAATTATTTATTTACCACATCTCCATTTGGAAGGCATTCCTCTTTAGTTTGCCTAAGAATAAGTTCATGATCTTCCTCAGCAAACCTGCTCCTCTTCCTTTGTTCTCTGTCTCAATTAATGATACCATTATCCAGCCAGCATATATCGTTCTTGATGCCCTCTTCTCCCTCACTCACCATACTTAATTCATCACTAGGGCCCATCTCTTTCATTTCCTAAATGTCTCTCAAAACTATCTTGATTCTAATATTTCCATAGTCATCACCATAGGATAGTCACTGTAACATCAATCTATGCTGTCATCATCTCTTTATTCTCCTGGGTTTTCTCTCCATTCACTCTGCTTTCCCAGCCCCAATTCCTTTCTCCACATTGCAGCCAGTCCCACCATGTCCTTCCTTAAGACTTGCCAATAACTTCCTATGGATCACAGGAAAATGATCAAAATCTTTAACACTGTGTTGCAAAGACAGCCTTTCCACAGTATCTGTTTTCTCCTTCTATCTCACAAAAATCTTTCGTTATTGGGACAGCAATATATCTCAGACACAAATTTAAAAAAAGATAATTCCTAACCTCCTTTACAGAGAGGAATAACCTATGTGATATAAGCGGAAGTTGTTAAACGGAGTACCAGGAAAATCCTTTTACCCTTGCCCTTTGGGTTCTTCATGTTTGAAATATGGTTGTGATCACTGGCACCCCAGTCTCCACCTTGAGACCTTGAAGGTGGAGGCTAGAACCAGAAATGGTAAGGCAGAAAGATGAAAGAGGCGTGGGTTCCAGTGACTTGGGAGAACCATGCTACAAGACTTGACTTTCTACTTCTGGGCTTCTTCTGTGCAAGAGAACAAAATCTTTACATAATACATTCACTAGTTGGATTTCTGGCACTAGGAGTTGCAGTCAGTTTCTAATTGATACACACAAGATTTGCAAGGCCCTACATAGTCTTGTCTCTGCTCTACCTCCCAAGCTGCTTCTTGCCCCATTGTCACCTGTATGCTCTTCAGTACAGCCACATTGGCCTGATTTTAATTCAAATGCACCTTGTTGCATTTCTTTTTCTTTTCTTTTCTTTTCTTTCTTTGAGATGGAATCTTGCTCTGTGGCCCAGGTGGGAGTGCAGTGGCGTGATCTCAGCTCACAGCAATCTCCACCTCCTGGGTTCAAGCAATTCTCCTGCCTCAGCCTCCCAAGTAGCTGGGATTACAGGCACCCATCACTACACCCAGCTAATTTTTGTATTTTTAGTCAAGACAGGGTGTCACTACGTTGACCAGGCTGGTCGCAAACTCTTGACCTCAAGTGATGCACAGGCTTGAGCCAGCACACCCGGCCCCATGCTGCATTTCTGCACAGGGCCTTTATACACTCTTTCCTCAGTCTATAAATTTTCTTCTCCAACCCCTCATCCTCCAGCCTGACCTGACTTACCTCTACTCATCTTTCAGATTTCAGTTAGAGCAGGACTTTCTTAGGGAAGTCCTCCTGAGCCTCCCTCTTTTCCCTTTCACTCCCCTCTTTCCACCAATCTAGAATAGGTTCCTTTGTTCTGTGCTGTCATGGAACTATATTCTTTTGCTTCAGAATATTTTTCTTAGGTTTAGTACTTAGCTATTCATTGATGTCATTATTTGATAAATATCTCCCTCCTTTATTAGATTTAAGCTTTATGAAAGCAAGGACCATGTCTGTTTTTGTTCAACATTTTATTCCCAGCACTTCACACAGTCCTTGGTATATATTCTATGCCTACTAAATAATAGTCAAATGGGCTGGGCACAGTGGCTCACACCTGTAATCCCAGCACCTTGGGGGGCCGAGGTAGGCAGATCACCTGAGGTCAGGAGCTCGAGACCAGCCTGGCCAACATGGTGAAACCCCTGTCTCTACTTAAAAAACAAAAATTACCCAGGCGTGGTGGTGCACGTCTGTAGTCCCAGCTACTCAGGAGGCTGAGGTGGGAGAATCACTTGAACCCAGGAGGTGCAGATTGCAGTGAGCAGAGATTGTGCCACTGCACTCCAGTCTGAGTGACAAAGCAAGACTCTATCTCAAAAAAAAAAAAAAAAAAAAAGGCGAAAAAGAAAAAATAGTTGAATGAATGAATAGGGACATCAAGTCCCTTTTTTCATAATCTATATCAGGCCCTTTCATTCTCTCTTGCCTCACCCACTCTCTTGTCAGAACTCCATAATGTTACACTAATGTTAGCATCATGTTTTATGGCTTAAAAACAACTTTATATAAATTATCCCATTTTCAATATCTACAACAACTATGTAAGGTATGTAAATAGTGACAAATCTTTTTCAAACAAGGATTTCAACATAAAATCAGTCCCTTCTCATCTGTATAAGTAGTCACCAGAGTTTTTGACCTCATTCTGTCTCATTTAAATCTTGAGCCTCACTAGCAAATTACAGTTTTGAGAATTCTCCAACTGATCTGTAGCCATTCAAAATACATATTCAAACAAGCAACAAGGAAAGACCAGCTAGGAAAGAAGCTCAACATCACCATTGCCTTGTCCCCCAGATACTGTATTCTGTATTCAATTTGATTCTTCTGACCTTAATCCCTTAGCAAAGTGGTTCTGAAACTTGAGCACGCATCAGAATCACCTGGAAGTCTTGTTAAATCAGATTGCTGGTCTCTGATCCAGGAGGCATAGAGCTTCTGATTCAGGAGGTCTGGGATAGGGTCAAAGGATTTGCATTTCTAACAAGATCCCAGGTGATGCCAATGCTGTTGGTTCAGACACACTTTGAGAACCTCTGTTTTAGTGGCTCCTCAAGAACAGAGAATATCTTTCTTTCTTTTTTTTTTTTTTTTTTTGAGACAGAGTCTCACTCTGTCGCCCAAGCTGGAGTGCAGTGGTGATCTCGGCTCACTGCAAGCTCCGCCTCCTGGGTTCACGCCATTCTCCTGCCTCAGCCTCCCAAGTAGCTGGGACTACAGGTGCCGGCCACCATGCCCGGCTAATTTTTTTTTTTTTTTTTTTTTTTTTTAGTAGAGCCGGGGTTTCACTGTGTTAGCCAGGCTGATCTCGATCTCCTGACCTCATGATCCGCCCACCTCGGCCTCCCAAAGTGCTGGTGCTGGGATTACAGGCGTGAGCCACCGTGCCCAGCCGAGAATCTGTTTCTTTAAGAACCTAGCAGTGGATAAATTTGCTGTTGGGCATTTTTAACAGCAGCCTGCAGAGCATGTCAACAAGGGTATAATTTCCAGCTTACCAAGGGCAACACAGTAGAGTTGTGACTATCCTGAGAGCCACTGAGCCACTGCATATTACCCCATGGGTCATGAGGAAGAGAAATCATCTAACCTCAGTGGGTAA